AAGTTGCATCGGGCACAGGAGGTTCGATGTTTGAGGCTGGAGGCGCGAAGAGGGCTTGCAAGATGCAATGTCTACCAAATTTATTCCAAATTTATTCCAGAATGATTTTGGAATAAATTTGGCAGAAATTGCATCGTGCCCGGCCCCTTCTCACCCCCTCCCTCCCCAACCTCCGCCCATAGCCTCATCTCTCTCTCTCTCTCTCTCTCTCTCTCTCTCTCTCTCTCTCTCTCTCTCTCTCTCTCTCTCTCGCTCTCTCTCTCTCCTCTCTCTCGCCTCCTCTCTCTCTTCTCTCTCTCTCTCTCTCTCTCTCTCTCTCTCTCTCTCTCTCCTCTCTCTCTCTCTCCTCTCGTCTCTCTCTCTCTCTCTCTCTCTCTCTCTCTCTCTCTCTCTCTCTCTCTCTCTCTCTCTCTCTCTCTCTCTCTCTCCCTCTCTCTCTCTCTCTCTCTCTCTCTCTCTCTCTCTCTCCCTCTCTCCCCCCTCTGTCCCACCCTATCCTTCCCCATCCCCATGACCAGCGGCGGTAGCGGCGACAGCCCCGTGGTATTTTCGCGGCCACCTGATCGGCCCAGCTCTCGGCGGTGTCGTCCAGCTGCCACTTGGCCTCCTTCACCCGAGCGTGTGCGACGAGGACGGACGTCAGCTGCGACTGGCTGCACGTGTCGCGCGGCGCCAAGACGGCGCGGATGCCTGAAACGAGTTTCACGTGCTCCACCACATCATCGGCCGAGGTCCCGCCCGTATCGGCGCACACACTCTCGGGATCCAGGGCGGATTTCAGCATCACCCGCGCCAGCTTGGTTGTCTGGTCGCTCGTGAGCTCGGAGGCTGGCCTCGCTTGGCCTCCTCTGCCACCTTTGCCCATGGCCTCCTAGCTCCTAGCCTCCTCTGCCTGGCCTCCTAGCCTCCTCTGCCTGGGGCCTCCTGGCCTCCTCTGCCTGGGACCTGGCCTCCTAGCCCTCCTCTGCCTGGGGCCTCCTGGCCTCCTGGCCTCCTCTGCCTGGCCTCCTGGCCTCCTCTGCGGCCGCCCCGCGCGCGCGGTGGCGGGGCCGCCGCGCGGCCGCGGCGCGCGGCCTCGAGGTGGGCGAGAGGCGGGAGAGCGAGAGCGAGGGAGACGCGAGCGAGAGAGACGGCAACAACACGAGAGGAACGCACGGGCGTGTGTACATGGAAGTAATGTGCATATACACGTACGCACATGTATGTAGTTGTATCTATATACACATATACATATACATACATATGTATATAATGTTGATATGGTATATGTGTATATATGCACATATAAGCGTACATGCATATATAAATACATAGAAATGACATACCTATGTAAAAAACGCGTTTTACGGGATCCACTTTTCTGTTGGACCTTTTTCTGGATCCACTTTTCGTCTTGGATCCACTTTTCTTCCGGATCCAGAAAGTGGATCATGAGGACCTCTGGGGCGCGCCTCCTCGGGCCATCCACGCTGGATGCCAATTCTTCGCGGCGGCAAAGACAGACGGCTGCGCCGTCGCGCGCTTCTGTAATTCCCGCGCTCCCGAGGCGACCCGATCGACAATTTTCCTGCTGGCGCGAAACGGGATCCGCGCGCGCTGCGCGCCGACCCGGCGGGCGCGCCTGGGCCTGCAAGTCTGCGGCGAATCCAGCGGGCGCCGGGCGCTTTGCGATCTCTCGGGCAACGTTAACGCGCGCGCGCGCTGGCCCGCGCCGCGCGCGCTGGACCGCGGACGCGCGCTCGGAGCGACCACTGCCGACGAGCTGTTTCCTCGCCTCGGAAATTAATCCACGCGACAAAATGCGCCCTTTCCCGGTCGCCACGGACGACTCGGCGTCGAAACCCACCGGCCTCGCCCGCGCCTGGACCTCGACCTCCCCGACCACTTGCCCATCGCACAGCCGCGCTACGGCGTCGAGCCACTCGGGAGGCATCGCCTCGAGTGGCCCGCCGTTCGCGCGGGCGGCGCCGGCGCCGCTGGGAGATTCGCGCAGCGCGGCCGTCGCTGCGACGCTCGCAAATCGCCGCGCGTCAAACGCATTGAGCGCGACCCTCGCCGATAAGCGCTTCGCCGCGGCCGCGCGGAAATTATGGCGGCGGGGGCTGCGCGGCGCCGCGCAACGAGGCCCGCGCGCCCACGCCGCGGACGACCGAGCACGCGGCCACCAACGCGCGGCCCGCGACGACTCGGCCCAGGCGCGCAGGAGGGCAGGCGCGGGGCGAAACCACCCTGCCGCGACGCAAGAATGTCTGCCTGCCCACGACAGCCAATCGCAGGCCGGAGGACGGCAGCGAGGGCGAGCGAGCTCATGTCCGGAAGCCAGCAAAATGCTCATGGCGAAATCGCCGCGATGGGGCGCTTGATGGCCCGTCTTCCCGCAGCGGCCAATAGCTAGCCCGCGCGACGGTGGCGCACTGGCCACTTGTAGACCTGCCTGCCGAGGCCACAAGTAGGCTGGCGTGGCGGCAGCGGGGGCAAATGAGCCCATGCCACACAAACCAATAGTAGGCTAAAAAAGGATTTACCTTGACGGGACACTATAGTCCGTCTGTCCGCATCGGCCACTGGCAAGCTTGCGTGACGGTACCGAGGGCGCGGGGGCCCGTGACCACAGAAGCCAATGGTAGGCTTGCGGTGCCAGCGCATGACCGGGCGCCAGTTGGACCCCAATCCGCGGCCGACGATAGGCATCCGCGATGCCAGCCAGGGCGATAGAGCGCATCGCCACCAGCGAAGGCAACGGAAAAGAAGATCGGCGGCAAGGCGACGCATAGGGGCCGCCCCCGTGCGGGCAGACACCTGCCCCCCTGAGGGGGGCAGGCCCGCGTGCCGCCGAGGAGGTCACAGACAAGAAAATCGGAACCTGCGGATGGGGTGGGGGGGCGAAGGGGGCCTGAGCGTGAAAGCGCGCGGGGCGGAGGCCAACGCGCGCGCGCGCGGAGCGCAGCAGGCGGCAGCGGCAAATGGCAGACGGGAGGCACGACCGAACCGAAAACAAAGCCAGCCAGCAGCCAGCGCCGCGAGACGGGGCAGGCGAACGAAACCTATCGCCACGGGCGCGACACGCGAGCCGAACGATCGAGGAGACGACCCCAAAGCCACGAAGGAAAAACGCGGGCGACCATGGAAAAAAAGCAAGCCAGAGCCACGCGACACGAAACCACGAATCGAACGCACGAGACACACAGGGGCCAACCCGAACCGAACCGAACCGAAAACGCAAAAGGCAGCGGGCCTGCACATTCCTGCAAAATCCGCGGTCGTCTGCTCGGCGCCGCAACGCGCGCTCGCCCCGTCGGGCCACGCGCGCACCTGCAATCCCCGCCTGCGCAGAGGAAGCGCGCCCGCGCGCGGATTTGCCCCGCGCGCGCGCCTGTCAAACGAGCCACGTGCACCAACGCACCGCGCGTGTGCGCTTGCCAACCGCGCGTTACTTCCCGCTGCCCCCGTTGCGAATTGCGCCCTCGAGCCAGCGAGCGTGTGCATCCTTCAAAAACCGATGTGATTCTGACGTTTCCTCATGGCCCCCAGATTGCCCCACGGAGCCCCAAGCGGGACCCAACAGGGCCCCGAAACGGCATCAAGAGCGCCCACTCACGCTCCAAAAGCGGCCCAGAGCGGGCGCCAAGACGAAGGAGGGCCTGTATTGAGGACCCCCCACGTGCTTGAGCCATGAAAGCCAAGATCGCCTCAAGAGGCCTCCAACACTCCAATGTTGCAGGGTCTTTGCAAGGTCTTTGCAACCACCCCTCCCTGCAAAGATAAACGCCCTGCCAAGAGGGTCCCCTTCCTCTGCTTGCCGTCCGTCTCCGCCTCTTCCTCCTCCACTTCCTCCTCCTCCCCCGCCTGCACATCAGGCTTCTCTGGTTCTTTCAAAACCACCACCTCTTCCTCCTCCTCCTCCCCCTCCTCCTCCTCCTCCTCCTCCTCCTCCTCCTCCTCCTCCTCCTCCTCCGTATCAACATCAGCATCATCATCACCAGCAGCATCGTCATTACCATCACCCGAATTCTCATCAACATCATGACCACAAGCATCAACATCACCATCATCGCCATCATCAACATCATCACCATCATCATGTTCCTCCGTTTCGTCTCGTTGCACCGTCAACTCCCAGAAATAATGCGTCAGGTGGGCCCACAGGTTGCCCGTAACCGAGGATCCGACCGTATGCCATGTTGGAAAGGATCGCGTCAACAAAATGAAAATGCGGCCCCACATAGCCGCCACGGCATTGGGACATGCGTTGCATGACCCATCATATGTTCCCGATCCTTGCTGCTGCTCACACACGACTTCTACCATGTCAACATGTATGAGTTTCCGTATTGTGTTCTCCTCCTCCTCCTCCTCCTCCTCCTCCTCCTCCTCCTCCTCATTCCCCCTGCACATACTAGTTTCACCTCATCCTGCTGCAAAAAAATAGCCTCCCCGCCCCGAGAAGGCCCAAAGAGAAATTCAAGAGCGACCCCATGGGAACCCGATCAAAAGCAACGCAGCTGGGTAACAATCGTTAGATGATTCAACCGAAAGGTTCCCACCGTTTCTTCGCCCCTGATGCGCTTGCACGGCGGCCCGTTCCACAGCGTGCTTCAAGAATGCACTGATTCGAGCAAGTCGCGTGCGGATAATGCCTAGCTGGGCGAATGGGGATATTTGTTAGTCAGCAGCCGCAAGCGAAAGCGCAAACGGCGAGTCGAGTCAGAGCGGGCCGCGCAAAGACGAAGCGAATGGGGATATGCGAAGCGTCAATAATTGATGTTTCAAACGGTTTTTACCATCCCAGCGTTCTCGGTGATACAAAATCGTGTTCCCGTTGCAGCGTGGGCCTCTTTTTCGGATCGGCGCGTTGCTCCCGTCGTTCAGAATGGCGCTCTCGCCCCCGTGTGGGCCACTTTTCCGGATCCGAGTCCTGCTCCATTGTGGTCCCCCCCATCATTTCCCCTCGAGACGGCGGCGACAAACGGCGGCGGCATCGACGAAACGGCCAGCGAGGCGCCTCTGCCGGAGCTGCGCCGGCCGCCCCCGCCGCCAGCGGAGCAGGCGCCTGCGAGCGGGGGCGGAGGATACCTCCGAGCCAGGAGAGGCCTCTGAGAGGAGGGGGAGGGAGAGGGGGGGGGGGGCAGGAAGGGGGGCGAGGGGAAGGAGGAGAGGAACTGGGGGGATGGAGGGAGGGAAGGGAGGGCGGGAGGGGCAGGAAGGGGGGAGAGGGAGGAAGAGGGGTCAATCGGAGTGTAGATTGAGATTCCATGGCGTCTTCATCTTGAACTCAGAAGGCGAGACAGAAAAGCAGCAACTGAGACATGTTGTGATGGTTTGCGCATCCGGGTGGAGTGGAGAGTATCGTTTAACCGATCCCCATCCCCAGCGGCGTTGCCTGGGCCCCACTGGCCGATTTACCCCCCTAGATGGGGATATGGGCCGTTCCCTTCGGGTTTCGAGGGTTGCATCCCCAACTGGGGTGATAATTTGGTGGGGGTCTCAAAGGGGATGGGGATGGGGATGGGGATGGGGATTGGTTAAACGATACCGATCGAAATACGCTACCAAAGTCCGTGATATGCACCACCCCGCAATTGCGGGTAAGAGTGAAGGGGCGGGCGCTGGGTGGGTCGCCAGTGGGTCGCGAGCGATTTGCGGGTGGGTCGCGGGGTGGGTTGCGGGTGGGTCGCCGGTGGGTCGCGACTGATTCGCGGGCGGGTCGCGTTGTGTGTCGCGGGTGTCGCGGACGGGTCGCGGGCGGGTCGCGGGGTGGGTCGCGGGTGGGTCGCAGGGTGGGTCGCGGGTGGGTCGCATGTGTGTCGCGGGTGGGTTGGGGGCGGGTCGCGGGTGAGTCGCGGGTCGGATCGCGGGCGGGACGACGACAACAAACAACAAAAAACAAACGACCAGCCACAAACAAATCAATAAGTAAAAACAGCAACAACACCACCAACAACAAAAAACAACCACAGCATCAACGACGACGACAAAAACACCAACAACAACAACCACAACAACAACAACGACAACCACAACAACAACGCCAACAGCAACAGCAACAGCAACAACAACAACAACAACAACAACAACAACAACAACCACAGCAGCAGCAACAGCAACAGCATCAACAGCAACAGCAACAGCAACAACAGCAGCAACAGCAACAGTCACAGCAACAGCAACAGCAACAGTAACAGCAACACCACCAACAACAACAACAACAATCATTCCAAGACTGTTCGCTCCTACCGGCCCGCGTGTCATTCACTATGTATATCCCAAACCCTGGATACCCGTCCTCTTCGTCTTCGATAGTACCCCCGCTTGGGGGGTACTAGTCCTTCCTGGCCACGTGTAGTTGGAGAAACCCCTAAACAGGGAAACGAAAGCGAAATGACAAAAAGAGAAGACGAAGAGATCGGAGGAAGGGAGGGAGTAGAAGGCCAAGAGGGAGGGACGACGATGATTTGCGCCGTGAGTTGCGATTCAGCTTGTGCCATGGCTTGCGCCAGCCATTCCAACACAGGTTAACAAACTTCGCCATGGGTCGCGCCATAAACTGTGAACGGGGTTGAAGTACAAGGGTACAGAACCCTTGATCCGTTGGTAGAGGGAAGGAGGGATAGATGGATGTCTTTCCCTCCTGCACGATCAAAGGTCTGATCGATCTGTCCCAATGCCTGAGCCCAAACGGCCAGGCGCAGGAGAGGTGAGGATAAGGAGTATATATGAGGGTATCACACGGGTTCTATTCACACACCCCGTCCCGAATCCCGCCCGTGAGGGTAGGACTCGGGAACAGAGGAAAAGATCCCGTCACCCTTGTACTCCTCGAATCCTCAATTTGTCAGGCAGCTGAGCGTAAGATCTGTGTAGCTTCAGCTGCAAGGTAAGGTAAGAAGGAACACCCAGGGTCCCAATTTCTTCGCCAAGCACGCTTTGGTGCCCCTTCGGTGCGCCCCCAAAAAACGCTTCGGCACTCGAGGGCGGAAAAGAATGAGACACGGGTGGGCGGAAAAAGAGGACCTGAGCCAGTTAAAGCAACATCAGAATCTGCCGCGCCTAAGCGGGGCAGGTGTTGCCACCAGCTCTCTGTCGAGAGCTGGGCATCAGATCATTCTCAACGCAATGCGAGCAAAGTCCAAAGAGTAAACGATAAACAACAGGTATTCTAGGTTCGTGTTGACGAACACGATCGTGTTTAGAAACACGTCTAAAAACCAAAACGAATGTCTGGCCAGACGCGAAGTCGCGTTGATAAACACGAAAAATTGCATGCATATATATAAATATATATATATATATGTGTATATATATAATCAGATTTGGCGACTCCCGTTGGCGCTGCCCCTTAGGAGGCTGCCTTGGGCATCGCAAGGATATGTGTGTGGCCACTTTTCTGGAATAGTGAAGTGGCCTGAGAAATTATAATAGCCACCGCTCGAGGCGAACTTGTGCAATGATAAAGTTCTAGCCTTTCGAGCGGTGGGCCTGGCGGCCGACTCTACTACGCGTTGCCCCTCTCGTAGAACCTGCGGCCCCACACCCTGTGACCATCGTGCGATGCGTAGCTCGTCGCGAAGGTCTCCCAAGGCGTCCTCGGGATCCAGTGGCGGAACCAATCGCTGTACTGGATGTCGCGTACGTATACGAACTCGTCGCTGTTGTCCGTGATGTATATCCAGCATTTGGTGTAGTAGCTCCAATATCTGGTGCCCCACTGGCTGTCCTCTAGGTTGTCGCGCAGCCATGTAGCGTAGTCCTCCGCCGTGCGCGCCCTCTTGGCGCGAGGAAGTGTCGCAGGTCTGCGGCTGTCGTCGCTGTCCTGCCGCTGCGCTGCAGTGCCGCGCGGCCCCGCGGGCATGTAGTCCCGCGTACCAGAGGCGCTGGGCCCTGCAGCGTCGCCAGGAGCAGGGCGCGGCGGCGGCGGCGGGTGCCGCGGCTGGCATGGCTCCGTGGCATCATCAGAGCGTTGGGAGTGTGTATCAGGTTCGATCGGATCGGTTCTCACCCCTGAATCAACCCCCCCCTGGCCAGTGGAACCCAAGGCGGGTTCAACAGAAGCAAGCACGGCAAGCTTGCGCTGCGTGACTCTCTCACGGGTGCCATCCCCTCTGGGAAGGGCAATCGTGGCAAGCCCGCGCGCCTGCCGCGTGCTTCGGTCGAGTCTGCCTGCGTTCAACCACCACGTCTTCCGACCAGCTTGGCCAGTCCTGATGCTGGTCTCGAGGATTTCACAGGCGTCGCGCATGTCCTCAATGGTATAAACATTCTTGCCTTTATTGACACGAGCGCCTGTCATTTGGCGGTGGAACTTCAAATTATCGAGAAAGCGCTGAACGAGGTTGGCAAAGGGATGGCATAGAGGTCTGCCGTCCTCACGCTCGCCCATCAATCAGCACATGTGTGCAGGAGGGGAGCCAGCGGCGACCCACTTCTCATACCTCTTCCTAGCAGCATCGCCAATCTCCTCAGCACGTCTTTCTCATGTCCTGGAATGGAGCGCTTGCCCATCATTATGACCTGCGCTCCGTCTCTCGTGTACCTCGTGATGTCGTCCTGGGAGAGCGTCGTCTTGATCCAGTGGGTCAGCTTCTGGAGGTATGCCAGGTCGCTCTCGACAGCGGTACTTTTACCCGTAGCACCTACGGCAACAGTGTACTGCCAACAGATGTCACAAACGGTACTTTCATATGTAACGACCCCTAGAGACAAGAGGCGACCGCAATTCCGACATCGCGCGATATCATGCTGGATATATTCTGGGGCTCCGTCAATCGTGAGGTGCTCACGGGATCCCCAGCGAGTGTCCCGACCACGAGCAAGACTGCGGCCGATCTGATCCATGGCATCGCGGTTGATCTTGGCGGTCGGACGGAAAGCGATCGATCGGCTCATTCCCCGGATCTCGATCCTAGACAATCTTTCCCCTGGCAGTCCTACGCGCTCAGTCGCGTCGTTGTCCGCGTTGTCAGTATCACCGTGGCATACGTTTTCTGTACGGGTACGGTTAGCCTCTTCCTGCAAGGCGGACTCGTTGTCGCCCTCCTCGCGGTCGATTCCCTTCTGCTGGGCTATGAGCCGTACCGTGGTTTCCTGATCTGGAACTGCGGATGCAACGCTGCCTGGGTCCTGGGGAATGTCCTGCTCCACGCCTGGGTCCTCATGTGGCGCGGCAGGTGTTTCCACCAGCTTCCTCCATACGGGGAAGCCTGGGTTGCCGAATGTCTGGGTACAATGTGTAAATAGATCACGTAACGTCTTGAGTGCAGGATGGTTCTGATGAGTAGCATCTTTTGTGAAATCACGAAGCTCCGCAATGCTGTCCAGCAGTATGATTTGATACACTTTAGAAATCCATTGGAAGACGCCTGTAGTTGATTCCTCGATGACCTCTGGGTCCAGGTAGTGTACCAACTTTTTGAAGAAACTATCTGCACTGCAAATCGGTAAGTCACGTGCCCATTTGTGGGTACGATTGTAATCCAAATAGTATGTCTCTGCGTTCCATGTTTTGGATCCAAATTGAATCTCAAATCGTAAGTGTGACTGTGCTTTATCCACCGCAATCCTCTCCCTGCCAGTATGCACCTCAATGATTTGTTTCACCTTTATCATAGGTGAGTCCACCAACAACTCCGACGTCCAGCGGTATATGCGGTGGTCGTAGGATTGCGTGGTCCACTTTGAATCGTCGTCTGGGTCGTAGTCGGGATGGTTGAGGAAGTCCTCTGGCGGGTCGATGATATTGTCGAAGATGCTCGCGTCGACGTCCTCATCTGCTTGGATCTCTGCTGATAAATCTGCTCTCATGTTATCATTTGCTGCTTTTTCCTCAGCAGTGAGTGGGATGTTTGATATATCCACGATGACGGTAACCAGAGGATCAGCAGATTGGCCTGCCTTTTGTTGGGGTCCATCGTCTGCGGTAGCAGTATCCTCGGCAAGTGTGGCCACCAGCTCACCGGGATCGGGTGTCCGAGGAGCGGGTCGTCTGGTCGGCGTACGTGGGATACGTGGCTTATAAATGCTCGGCATTCCAAGATATGGTAGATCACCATCTGT